AACTTGTTAATTAGATACATCCATACATTTCGATATCTTCTACTTTTCAGAATTTACAACATAACTTGTTAATTAGATACATCCATACATTTCGATATCTTCTACTTTTCAGAATTTACAACATAACTTGTTAATTAGATACATCCATACATTTCGATATCTTCTACTTTTCAGAATTTACAACATAACTTGTTAATTAGATACATCCATACATTTCGATATCTTCTACTTTTCAGAATTTACAACATAACTTGTTAATTAGATACATCCATACATTTCTTGATTTGGTGTTGATTAGAATCATGTTCATCATATCCTCTTTAGGTTCATCAACTTCTTCAACTGATTACTCAAGCACGTATTGCTACAGCAGGGCTGATCAAACTCCACGAAGCTTCTAGAAAGGGTTGGTTTTCACAACTAATTTCTTGTTTCAACCGAAGTGATACTTCATTTGTCAGTGTAGAATACAATGCTGTGGAAACAAAAAAGGTTGAGTTGTACCTTGAATATACTGCCATACAACTGTGTGAGCTATTTCAGGTCTGTTGAATGTTGTATGTTTGTTCTTTATTGCTGTGTTATCTTTAAGTTGTGTATATTTATTGCATGGAACGGTGCAAGCTAGAAGTATATTTGATTGAATGTGTCAGAGATGTAAGTTTATTTTAGAGAATTTCATGGGTTTATTACGACTATAGAATCATTAAGGTTTGGAAGTTTTAGTAAATTCTTCTGTTTGATTAAGAATTATGTGGAGCAGTTAGTTTATAGAGAATGAACGCATTTTCAATAATGGCTCCCCCAGGATCTGTAGGGAACACAAAATCTGACACCAGTTTCGAGTTCAGTGACACACTCATCATGCCCAAGTGACCTTCCAGGCATATTCTAGCCACCCTTGGCACCCCAAATAAATAAAGGTAGTCAGGGATATGCTGTATAGGTCCCAGGTCACTCTGACTCTGCCTGCCAGTTTGATCCTGCTAGCTCCAAAACTGTGGGAAGCATTCAAATTCACGAACAATGGGAATTTAGTATAGGATGACCAGTTTCTGAGTTGTAACCAATTTCTTGTTGTCAGATAATTTTCTTATTTATCTATATATATGCATTTGTGTGTTATTTTTTGGTTTTTGAAGATGTGTATTTTTGTCCTAGTTTTGGTTATGACTTAACTGTTAAATAGAGATCATACTGAAATGCTTATATGTTTTATTAATAGGCATGAGTGAAATATCTTTATTTTATAATGGTTTACTGGTTTTTTTTTAATTTTATTGTCTGTACCGTTTTAAAGATGAGTCTGACCTACTCTGTGATTCCAGCTGGAAATTCCCAGTGTATCTTTAAGAGGTACTTCTCTTCAAGAGAAAACACCCGATACAGTTCCTGGACCGAATGGGCCCTGTCTAACACCACTAGGGCGCTATCAACTTGTAAACAGAATCCACAAGTTTCCGTTTCATTACCAAGAAAATCCAGATCTTCAGCCAATCAGAAACTATGAAATCACTTTTCTAGTTCGACTGCTTCACCAAATCTCGACAGCAGTAAATAAAAATGTAACTAATTACTTGAACTTTTACAAATGATGTTTTTAAAAACTTGTGTTTACAGCATGATTGTTAATTTGATTTGAGGTTTTCTCTCGTCAGATTTGTTCAATTTATCAGTTTATGCGGGTTGATTTCAGTAGTTTACATATATGTATATATTTTTTAACTTTCTAATATTGTATTGAATAAATGGTGATATCTATAAGTATTTCTATCCTAAATATTGTCTCACATTGCCAGAGTAAATTAGTGTTTCTACTACTGCATACACCAACTGTTATTGAGAGGCACACTAACAGTTCATTCAGTTAGTGTTTTCTTTCAAATCAAGTGCCTACAGTCAAATACCAAAGATCACCCAACCTAAGTAATTTACTGACCCCTGATTTTCACACACGCTTATTAATTTTTAAAGTTTCTATAGAATTTCTTATTCTCAATTCTGTTACTATTATTTTTGTATTATTCTTCCAGTTATATATTACTAGACCTTCTATCATTGTTGATAAAAGATATTTTCTGTACTAACGCCTCCATTAAACCTTAAAAAGAACGTTCATATAAAGAGTGTTATAAATCAAGACCAATTTATCATTTATAGCAAGTGGTTTATCTTGTTTCATGGTTTAATTTTAATACCATTAACTAGGCCCTGCTGGATAGACATAATTTACAGATCACGGGATTGATACCTGTTGCTGAGCGTGCTCGCCCTTTCAACATAGGAGGTAGTGTGACTGTCAATCACATTATTCGTTGGTAAAGAGTAGCCCAATAGATGGCGCTGGATGTTGTTTACTAAATGCCTTCCCTCTATCAATCCAAATGTAGGGACATCTACCTCAGATACCCCTCAAGTAGCTGTGAAGAAAATTCAACAAACCATTGAATATAAAACTTTCAACAGATTAGTTAAATTAACAAAAACAATATGGTTATTAACTTAAGCTTATAAAGTAAACACTTGCTGAAGAGTTGCAATAGCTTGAAAAGTAAAACATGAAATGCTGGTTGGTTAAGAACAAATAAACACTGAAAAAAAAGAAAATAAACAAAATGGTCCTAATTTTACAAACTTCTGCTCTGCACTGTCTGATAAAGTTTAAGGGCTAGTAATACATCAGTCTACTAATTAATGTTTTAAGTGCAAGTTCATTATTCAGAATGCCAGTTTGTTATTAATCCAAGATTGAATTATTTTTTTCTAGTTAAAAATTAGATAAAATTTGACAATGAGTTAATAATAATTACTTTTTAATGAACATTATTTGTTATTTTTAGTATGGAAACAAGTTTAATGACTTCTACTACAGAGAGACTTTTTTAGGACAATTAGCTAGGCAGCTTCTTACAGCTCCATCTATCTTTTATAAAATAACCAAAACAGGGTCAGTGCCATCCTCTTTTCGAGAACTCCAGACTTTACCTCCACGTGTTCACCTCAGATACTTGGCTCGTCGACAAACTGTTGGTTACCTGCTTTGTCTTATCATCTTGGGCTACGTGTGTGGCTACAATCCTCTAAAAGTTGTGTTTTTTCTAGCCATTTTGACAGCCTTTTATTTTGTAATTAAAGCATTTTTCTATCCCATGCCACCTCCACCTCCTCCAAGCCTCTGACATTTTCCAAAAAAGTATAGATTAATAAAAAAGGTACTTGTTGAAAAGTTCTGTTGTAAATTGCGAAACAAAGAAGTGTTAATTTATAGATATATCTTACCAATAAGTTATGTTGTAAATTCTGGAAAGAAGAAGATATCGAAATGTTAAATGTATGGATGTATCTAATTAACAAGTTATGTTGTAAATTCTAGAAAGAAGAAGATATTGAAATGTTAAATGTATGGATGTATCTAATTAACAAGTTATGTTGTAAATTCTAGAAAGAAGAAGATATTGAAATGTTCCTTTTTGAGTAATCAGTTGAAGAAGTTGATGAACCTAAAGAGGATATGATGAACATGATTCTAATCAACACCAAATCAAGCCTTTTTGAGTAATCAGTTGAAGAAGCTGATGAACCTAAAGAGGAAGTAATGAATATGATTATAGTCAACAACGATTCAATTCTTTTTGAGTAATCAGTTGAGTTGATGAACCTAAAGAGGAAGTAAAGAACACGATTATAGTCAACACCGAATCAATCCTTTTTGAGTAATCAGTTGAGTTGATGAATCTAAAGAGGAAGTAAAGAACACGATTATAGTTAACACCGAATCAATCCTTTTGAGTAATCAGTTGAAGAAGTTGATGAACCTAAAGAGGAAGTAAAGAACACGATTATAGTTAACACCGAATCAATCCTTTTTGAGTAATCAGTTGAAGAAGTTGATGAACCTAAAGAGGAAGTAAAGAACACGATTATAGTTAACACCGAATC